ATTACGTAGACACCCGCTTTACCTCTTTGGAATTCTGTAATGTAAGCGTTTTTTAGGGAATAAAATCACCATCCGACTTTCTTCTTCTTCTTTCTTTATTCCTATCAGTTATTTAGGTTTCGTCAACCAGGGGTGCTCAAAAATAGACAACTTATCTTCTCTCTACTCATTGCTAAAGATAATGGAAAGAATTCCCAAAACAAACAGCAACAACTATGACTTGAATTCCATCTCATTCAAACGCTAGACTCAAAGGAAGCTGGAAGGATCCAAACCAACCATCATCCAATTCTCACATCCTTTGGAGAATATCTTGGTCCTATTTCTAAGCAGACTAAAACTCTATTCATGAACATAACTGAATGAAGTAATAAAAAGGTACTATGATATAAAGGTAGTGAATGGGCTAGTGCGAAGCTCACTAACGTTTGTCTTACAATATCTAATGCTTCAGATCATTTTGCCTTATTTATAATCTGTTTTGACCATAAGCGGTAATATCGTGTTTGGGGATTAAGGAACACACATTCTTTATCGGCATCTGGGAGAATTAGGTTTGATATTTCACCTCTTACTTCCCCCTTCACTAGTGTTTTGTTGCACTGTTTAAATGTTGAACATCACATAAATGATGGTATTGTTACCATTTAATGTCACTGTCATGATTACAATACCACTGTCAGAGTCATGTCTATTTATGTTCAACATTAGTTTGGTTTGCGCTGATATATACTTTGCTTCACTTGTTATGCTAAAGTCTTACATATTTGGAGATTGAGGAATTAAGTTTGGTTTAGTTGGTTTTAAATTTCGAGCAAGGAAGGAAGGAAGAGGTCAACGCTGAACCTGACCCTCCCTGGTCCAAAACATGGACTCGAGGGCTATCTGCGCTAGTCGTTCCTAACTTAGCAATGACAGACTAGAGGGAAGGCAGCTCCAACTCCTGGGCTACTCTTTTACCAACGAGTAACGGGATTGACCGCCACATTATAACCCTCCCTCGGTTGATAGGGCGATCATGTTTGGTGACGGGGATTCGAACCCGCCACCCGAAGATTGAGAATCGAGCGCCCTAACCACCAGGTCATGCCAGACCAAAATATTACCGACTTGGTGGTTGTTAAGCTCAAAGCTATACACTGGGCTATCTGTGCTTTCCCTACCACTGGTATCGTACACAACCCTCAAATAGCTTGGCACGAAATTCAATCCAAACAAAACCGTTCTCCTTTTCAGTTAAAATAAGTGAAGCTAGTGAAAATATACGAGTGAATATTATCCAATGAATTGGACCTGGCACGAAA